TTAAAGGGTACCCACAAAGTGAGTTAAAAGCTGCCTACAGTTCATGCGAAGGGAGTGCCATGGATGATAGAAGACGACTTAATGTTCTAAAACAACCCTACCTCTAAAGCTTTCTTGATATGAATAAAATGTTTTTAGCCTTCTGCTTCAAGTTGGCCTTCTAGCTTGATAAACTGTGGCATCAGGAATAGATGGTCGATTTCAGCAATTCCAACATAGTTCTCTCCAGTGTACAGTGCAGAGTTTTCCTTAGGGTACAGAGAAGAAAAATTTTCTTCCAAAGTTTCACTTTCATAACTAGAATCTCAGTTTTTCTGATTCACAAAAAAGAGTTTGAAATGCCACAACCAAACTGTCACATAACAGTGTTCTGAATTCTCTCCCTAATGAAAAACAAAATTCAGGTAAGATATATATTTGATTCATAGTTGAAACTGATGTGCTTCTAAACTGAAAGAAACTTGGAAATTAATATTTTATCTTTAAATATTAAAAATCAAATCTTTCTCACAGCATCCCCAAAATCATTTCTATTGTTTTCTGAACAAGAGTATTAATCAATAGAGACCCTAAAACTGGATTATTCCCTAAAGTAAACTATATCCTAAGTGAGCTTTTTTTCACATACCAGAATTATTCACTTTGGGAATAATTAAGATTGCAAAACATAAGGGGAGCACATTATTTTCTCTACTTCAATTCAGCAAGAACTGTTAATACTACAGTAATCTGATTTTTATTACAACAGCAACCACAAATGGGATAATAAGAGCTAACATTTATTGACTGCTCACTACAATGTCAAGCAAATATTAACTCACTGAGTCTTGAGAGCAACCAGCAGATAATGGCATCATCCCCATCTTACCGAAGAGAAAGACAAAAAGAAGTTAAGGAGTTTGTCCAAGTAGTAAAACTGGGATTCTAATCCAGCCCGAGCTCTACTTACACGCACCAGATCTTTAAAAAAATCTCCCCTAAATAGATATTTTCTAAGCCTCCCATAGATGTGCTTTGAAAATTCAACAGTGACAATAAAGTAATAGCATCTGATGGACATTCCAGATATTTCGTTTCTTTTTTTAGGGGGACAGTTTTGGAGTATGTGGTTATGGTCTCCATACTCCTAGAGCCAGTCTTTGGAGTCCAGTCAAGGAGATCATCCAGATGAGTCCAGTCCATTTTCCCAGATGTATTGTGCCAGCTTCCTTAAGAAATAGGATTTCCATAAAAGGCTATTCTTGAATGACTGGCCATCTACAACCCCATTGGACCCATGTGGGGATCCCTCCCCTTGCCCCAATAATTTCTCAACTCCTGTTTGGGTTAAACTATGACAGTCAAAATATCCACTCTCAAAACATGGAGCAGTAATTTTCCCTTCCCACTTAGTCCCCTAGATTCTCCAAAAAGCAATAGGCTTCATCCTTCCATGAACTTGAGTGGGACCCTGCTAGACCATGAGAGAACCACTGGAGTGATGGAACTTAACAGCTGAGGGAAACTGTGGAGATTTTTTAGTCTACCACCTTTATTTACAGATAAGAAACTGAAATCTAGAAAAATTAACAGCCAGACAGTTCCTCAGTAGTAGAACTGGGACCAAACCCTATTTTTCTGACTCACAGTACCCTTTGCCCTGCAACAAACTACCACTCCAAGACCTTAGAATTGACCCATAGATATACCCTAGTTAATTCATGAAAAAACGAAATTAATAAATTCTGCCACAGTTCTCCCAAAGAGGCAATACAGTACTTTTAATGCAGTATAATTTTTGTTTTCTATTTGTAATTTCCAACTACTCAAAACAAGTGGCCCACTGGCTAAAATTCTCAGAAGCTACATGCTATACAAAGATTTTCATTAGAACCAGATATAATAACACAGAATTTGTCTCAATTGTACTATTAATATCACCTCCAATGTGCCTAATTTACTCCTGGGAATTAAACATTTGTTAGTAATATTGATTAAATATTTATTTGAGCCAGGATCTTAGAGTAACAAGAGCAAAAGGAGAGTAACTGCCTAATTTTAAGTTGTTTTCTTACTTGGCCTTGCAATTATAAGAAAAATAAATTTTTAAAAAAATAAGATGGCTTAGTCGGTTAAGTGTCCGACTTTTGATCTCAGATCAGGTCTTGATCTCAGGGTCATGAGTTCGAGCCCTGCATTGGGCTCCACACTGGGTGTGAAGCCTACTTAAAAAATAAATAAATAAATAAATAAATAAATAAATAAATAAATAAATGAGATACTAAGTTAAAAATCCCATGATGGCCAAATACTGCAACATGTATGCAAAGACAGTAACATACTGTAAGAATTTAAGAAGAGACCACAAATTTCAGTATCTTTCTTCAGGACATTTTTCCTCCCAAGGAAAAATCAGCACATAAAATTTTATCCCACCAGAGTTATGCATAGATTAGATTAGGATTTCCACAAGGTATGACTGCTGGTGGTTCTAAATTTTGATTGTTCAGAAAGTTAGGCATCCACATAATGGAAATTATTTGGGGAAAAAAATGTTTAATTCTATTCCCAGACAAATACAAGGACTACCTTCCTCCCCTCCCACAAGAAACCATCTTAAGTACACAATACAGAGGAAAGCTATATTCTAGGTAGGGATCAGATTGTAACCAAGGTATCTATCTTGATAATTCCATGCAGTCAGGTAGTTAACAATTCAAAAGCAGAATGACCAATGTTGCGGTGCCTGGGTGGCTCAGTTGTTAAGCGTCTGCCTTTAGCTCAGGTCATGATCCCAGCGTCCTGGGATTGAGCCCCGCATCGGGCTCCCTGCTCAGCAGGAGGCCTGCTTCTCCCTCTCCCACTCCCCCTGCTTGTGTTCCCTCTCTCGCTGTCAATCTCTCTGTCAAATAAATAAATAAAATCTTAAAAAAAAATTTTTAATTAAAGAAAAGAATGACCTATGTCAACTTTTTAAACATACAGGAAGATCCTTAAAGTGAAACCTTAGCATCCTAGGGGAAAATTATAAAATACTAGGAAAAGAATACACTAAAAATAGGCATAAGCAAATATTTGATATATTGGAATATGGAATACAGTTTAATTTATGAAGCTAATTTTCAAAACTCACTTTTAAATTGATTTGGTATAAATTTCTGTCTTAAATTTCTTGGCAAAGCTTATTAACAAAATAATCATATTACTTAATTTCACCAAGACAAACATGTTAAGTCACTGAATGCTTAACATTAAATTTACAAACACCACCCCCCCCACTTATGACCTGTATTTGTCTCTCCTACAAGAAAGAAATGGAGAGAACCATTTCAACAACTGAAATATTCTTACTTTGAAGCTAATAATGTAAATAAATATATTTTCTATATATAACCACAATTTTTTAAAATAATTTCTAGAAATCACATTAGTTCCCTCAAAATGCAAAAGTATAGTTTTTCAAAAGTGATCCTCACAGCTCAGGTAGGCTTGTTTTGTTAATTCAGTATCTACCCAGCACCAAGATGCTCAAGTGAAAAGCAGCATTCAGCCAATAGCTTGAATATTCTGCCTATGTGCTACTGAGTATCTAGGTGTTTAGTAACACTTGGATACAAATGTAGAAAATACTATTACATTCTTTTTTCATTCGTCATTTTGACAGATACAGTAATATGAATATTAAGATTTCGTCTGCCTTTGTGTACACACACACACACACACACACACACACACAACAGTAAATCAGCTTTTTTAACGAATACTTAAAAACCAAAGTTAGAGTGAAAGTACCATGTCTTGCAAGAATGTTATTTGTTATAATCTAATTATGGAGGAAACAATCTGATAATACCTGTTTACAGTAGCCTAGCCACTTGATATCAATTATTCAATTATTAGATATTTACTGAGGCCTCTTGCCAGGCTTTGCCCTTCCTCAAAGAGATCCAATCTAATTACAGAGACGAGAAATAGACCTATGAAATTTAAACTAATAATATTAAAACTCATGCTTTATCCACATATCAATGAGAAATCAGGGGCACAGATAATAACATGCTATAGGAGTTTAGAGGTGAGGGCTCTTTTTGTGGACTTGGGTGGTCCCAAAGTACCACACAAAAGATGTAGTTTTGAGCTGATCTGAATGGGTGGTAGATTGCAGTCATGAAATGACTGCTTTAATAGTTATGCACCTTCACAAAAGTAATTTTAAAGCACCCAGGCCTAAACCTGGCTATTCTGGTTTTCCACAGTCCTTTTATATATATATATATATATATATGGTGAATATATATATGATGAGTCTAAGAAAGAAAGAACATCAATTCTCAAATTAACAATGCTTATAATTACTTCTGGATTGGAACCAAAAACTCTAGAAACATAGGTTGGGTTTAAAAAAAAATCATGAAGACATATACACATCCATATATACAAACCTTAGCTGTGATCAAAAGCATCTTGCACTAGTCTCCTTAAGCCAGAATCACCAGTATTCCCTTTCTTTCTCTGAGTAATTGCATAAATAAAAATAGGAAATAAATCCACTTCTTTGCAGAGATAATGGCTCACACTTAAAACACACCCTGAAGAATCTCTCATGAAAGACTAATGTAACCAGTTCATATCTGTAAATATAAATTGCAGAGAATGGACTCCTCAAGTGAGAAATTATTTCTTTCACCTTATCTTCTAGTTTCAGGCACCAGCTTTATATAACGATTTGAAATGCTGAAGTCCCTATTTGGTTATTTGTAAGAACACTCTAGTTTATTGCAAAAGTAAATGTATAGAGCTTTGTTAGCGAAGGGGCTATATATTTAATGTCCATTCAATGTTTTGGGAATCATCAATTGCTTGCTCTTGTTTGGTGCGGGAGTCATGTTTTGTTAAGTGCATCCACAACCAAGTTAAAGAGCAGATGTGTGGTTTGTGTCTTTGTCCATATAATTTTCTGTTTAGACCAAATGACATTATAGCTGAAAATAACATACCCTGATTTTTCCTGATGCATGCAGATCCTCCAAAGTTTAATAGGATATGGCCGAATATTTCTTCCCTTGAGGTTTCTAACCCAAAACAAGGTAGGAGCATGTAAAATTCCTACTGATATAAAATCCCACATGTTTAGGGGAAAAATCCCATATACTATTTTTTAGCACTAAATAAGAGCATTATCATGAATGCCATGTCTTTGAAAGAATCATGATTCAAATATTATTTCTAATATGAAGAGCATCCTGAAAATATTATAGTGAAAGACATAGGAAAAAATTAGATGTCATAGAAGTTTTAAGCACTTTATCAAATTTAGGTTGAATGTCAGTCAGTCCCTAGAGAAGCCTGGAGTTTTGTTGCCATCACAGTATGGAATATAAATAATGTCTTAAAAACTTGTGAGTTGGTACAGGCATCCTTCTGCTGTCTCCCTTTTGCTCTTCTTAACTAAACTGGTACACCAGTTGTATTGAAGGTCAGGGGGAAAAATACATAAAGGCAGTATTGTAACCCCTAAGAGACCTGTTTTCTTTTACGGTCACTCCATATTGACTGGAGGAAATCTGGATCTCTCTCTCTCTCTCTGTCTGTCTCTGTCTCTCTCTCTTTCTCTCTCTTCCACATCACAATATATTTTTCTCTGTTGGGGCTTCCACTTTTAATCCTCTGTGAATTAACAATTATTTCTAGCTGCATTAAGGGCAGCCTGCTTTCTGTCTGTCCTTATTTCTGACTTCTAACACCAAAAACAAGTAAATAAATAAAAGAGGAAAACTGACAGCAGTGTGATTACTCAGGCAGAAATAGAACTTCTAAAAACTGGGCAATGGAATTCATAAGATGCAGTGCAATGTTAAATTCCCATTAATGTCTAGCCTATAGATATACACAGACATGTATAAATAGTTTATTTTAATGGAAAATTGTATTCTTTTGCCTTCTTTCTTCTCAAAAAAAAAAGGCACATTTTTGGCTTCCACCTTCCTTCCTTGCATACAGGATGTTCCTTTTAAACTCTAATGAATACAGATGGAGGAGGAAATGAGCAAAAGGAGGAACCAGGAAATAGCTGCTAAGCAAAACAAAATATATTAGCAATTTGTTGGGGAGTCAAATTGGAAGGGCTGCGTTTTCAGTCCTTGATCAGAGTGATGAAATCGAGACTGTCCTAGATACATATATTAGTAGCAAATAGAATTATCTTAATCATCTGCTCCAAATAAATTTTTTCAAGTTTCTGCATACATATGTGGAAGAAGAAATACAGATCAAGCTTACCCCTATTAGTATAATTCTATGAGGATTCAGGGGAGGTTTAGTGGCTTTGTTCCTTGGCAAGTTCAATGAGAGCATCTTCAGTAAAATGTCACTCAGTATTTCCCATTGAATTTCATAGCTCAACAAATTATACAAGACAAGATCTAAGACTTAACACTTCTCCACAGTGAGTTTTGAGATGAACAAGATTATGCGTTGTTCAAAACCTGAAACAGACCTACTTAATTATTTTGCTATGTTTTCTGTCAGTGTCACAGCACTGAAAACTTTCAGAAATCTTCAGCTAACACCAGGTGCAGTTTTTTCGAATGTGGATAATGAGTTCAAATGAATTTATTTGAGAAGCAGCGCAGTTGAATAAAGTGCTTAAACTTGAAATTTTAGCTAAAGGTGCACTTTCTAGCAGAGGCCAGTTCGGTGCAGCTGTAATTTATCTTGTCAACATCTGCAAAGAACATCAGGCTCTGTCCGGCTCTTGCTATCTTCACAAACAACTCATCATGAATAATTGGAAAAGAAATGGCAGGCAACTTAGAGAGAAATCTCTGCCATTAGCGAACTGATATCATCACAAAGGTAACAAATGTTGAGAAGACTACATTCTTTTAAAGGGAGACAGATTCAAGGTGACTCTGAGACTGAGGACCAGATGGTTGACATTGTGATTCTGTTCTGTGATGTCTAATCGGTTAAACAAAAAAAAAAAATCAAGCTGGCTTATATGTAGATGAGCTTTGGTTTACACAGAGAGAATGACAGTGATTTGAGGCAATGAGATGGCAAATTACCTCAACATTATTACTGGTTTAAGAGAGGGACAATAGGGCATCCTAATATCCATATTGTTACTGGAATAATCCTTGCATAACTGGATTCTTAACTTAAATGGTAATTCTTTTTGCCTCTGAAAATAAAACCTCTAAACTTTATTACTGACAATGTTAAACCATTTTCAGCCAAATACAAGACTTCCTCTGTGACTGAAACCATCTCCCGGAAACAACATATACAAATAGTCTCTTCCTTTAGGGCTCCTTTTTGAGTGGGTTGATAATAAGTTATTACAGTTTGAACGTTTCACTATTGTTTCTAATGTGCTGTTCATTCTTTTAAACCTATCCAGTTGCTCCCAAATTAGCTTTGTCAACAGTTTCTTCTGTTCAAGTTGCAAACCACAAGAGAGGTAGGAATTCTTGGATTCATACAGTGATTTCATGGTGTTATGTGTTGTGAAACATTGCACTGTATGAATCTGGAATATCTGTGAAGTGTACCCATCAGCTTATTGGTGAGGCATGTTGACTGATTCCAATCAATGCATCAAATAGTACTGAGAATGTCATCTGTAAGAGGGAAAAAAAAAGCTTCACTCAGAAACTTGACTGCTGTAAATTAAAAATGCTGCAACATTTGTTTTCTGAAAGATTAATGTGTGAATAAGCATTAAAACAGTTTAGGATCCTGTTTAGAACATGAATGTTAGAGTATTAACATTGTTGCTCATTTGCATTGAAAATAAAGAAACTCACTGTAAGTGAGTTTCAAGGATGCTTTTCATGAGAACAGAGTGGCAGGTTCCATGTTTTGTGCCCATTTGACTTTGTGACAAATGAAATACCTTGCAATTTCTATTTCCATTGTTTGGAATGAATTCGAACAAACACCAGTGCAGATCTGCACCGGGTGAAGCATTGATTACGACCTGAAAATAATAGTTATATTGCTTTCTTTAAATGAAAGCAAGCAGTATCTCATCTGTGACTCATGAATAGCCCATTCCAGCTAACATCTGTCATTCACAGAATGAAGATTTTTCAGGAAACATTTAAAGACTCCTGTTTTTATTTTACCATTTTACTTTAAATGTCCTATGTGACAGGTGTGTCTTGTTTTCCACCCTTGACTGTTGGGCTTATGTCATGTTTTTTATTTTTATTTTTTCACGAAACACCTCTTACAAAGAAATATATTTATTAGCAAAATTGAATTTAGTTTGACCCACTTGGTGAAAATGACCATAATAGCTTCTTTATTCCTTACTGAATAGAGTCAAATCATTTTCCAGATTTTAATTAATGTTGAGTCGGTCCTTCTGTGGTGTATAAAGAAAAAGATGAAACTGGTCTGAAAATGGGAAAGGGGAAACCGACAGTATTTAAACCATGTCTTTAAACTTTCCTCACAATGTACTTTTACATATCAAACATGGACAATGCCCTTTTGAGGGGAATGCAGATGGATTTGAAATTGGGGGGACGAAGTTCTTTAGGAACAGAACAGCCACAGGTTCCCAGGATATCAAGCCTGTTTGGGTTTGAGTGCACATCAGAAAGCAGTCACTGAGGCCACAGAAGGGAGATCTTTCTTTATCTCCAAAATGCAAATCTACACAAAGAAACCATGGAGGTGGAGGAGAAAGGGAAGCAATAGGGACTCTCACAGATTCCATCTCTTTTATGTCATGTCAAGCACACTGGAAATACAAGAGACCTCTTGACCTGGAATTTGACCCTGCATCGTTGAATCTTGAGTTTCTTGGGGTCACAGCACTAATGAGGTTCACTCACATCTCCAGAGGCAGGAAGAAGTCACCTAAGGACTTATAAAAAAAAAATCCATATTGTCATCAAATGATGTATGTGGAAGAGCTTCAAAAGCTACATCAGGTTGCAAGAGAGGGCCTGGGGTGGGGGTGGTAAGGACCAGCGACGTGCTACAGCCACTTCACTGCCACCCCTGGACGAGGCCCCTCCGAGGCATGGTGACTGTGAAGGCAGTGAGCGGAAAATACTTTTTAAGGGTCCTCATTCCTTCACTTTCTATCTAAACTCTTTTTCCCAAATCCTTTTTTTTTTTTTTTTTTTTGAGGGACTAAAATGAATTTTCATCAGCTTGCCTCATTTGGCCAAAACAGAAAAAAACTACCCGTGCCATTCTGAGTACTTGATCTCCTACTTGCGTAGGCAATGTAACCTATGATTAGAGGCGACATGGAGAACAGTAAGAAAGAAGACACCAAGGGGAAATTTAACCCCTCCTCTTCTGCCATTCTTCGTCTTCCACTCTCTATCCCTCCAACCTCTTGTTTCTGGGAACACTTCCTTGCCCAGCCCTCCTCCCAGCCAGTGGCAATCGGAAAGAACCTTTACCTAAAAGGGTTGGGTCTTTCTTGATCAAGAAAACCAACTCTGAACTCTTCTTCTAAAACATCCCTAGCTTTTATTGGTCCCTAGCTTTTTATTGCTCTTTTTTTTCCCAAGATTTATTTATTTATTTGAGAGAGCGAGAATGAAAGAGAGAGAGTACATGGCGGGGGAGAGGGCCAGAGGGAGAAGCAGGCTCCTCGCTGAGCAGGGAGCCCGATGCGGGACTTGATCCCGGGACTCCGGGATCATGACCTGAGCCGAAGGCAGTCGCCCAACCAACTGAGCCACGCAGGCGCCCTATTGTTCTTAACTAAGCTACTAAGTACCATATTATCATAACTGCTTTATATGATGTCATACACGTCCAATGGGGGATTTTGCCCTTCCCCCCCAGGGGACTTCTGGTTGTCACAGCTTGGGGGTTGCCCTGCATCTAGTAGGCAGAGGCCAAGGATGCTTCTAAATATCCTCCAGTATATAGAAAAACAAAGAATTATTTGGCCCAAAATGTAAAGAGTGCCGAGGTTGAGAAACTGCAGTAGACTCTGTAGGACTAGTTCATGTTGTTTCCCGGCACAGGTCGTTCTCAGGAAATAGGTGTTGCCAATGCTTGCATGCCACGCCTTGGAAATGTGTTCTAGAGGACCCCACAAGCTTGTCTACACAACAGCAATTAAAACTTGTCTCCAATGTAATTTGAGATTGAAAAATTATAAAAAACCATAGCAATTTTTACAAATCTCCTTTTTTCTGCCTAAGCTGGTCTTCACTGACATAGAGACAACCCTCAGCTAAAATAATCACTAACTCAGTTATATCTTGCTGTGTGGCTGTTGTTTTTCTAGGCTCTTTAATATCCGGGATCTAGCCAGACTCTTACAGAATTCATATGGGGAGGGATGAATTTAAACATAACTGCCCTCTTGTGTCTTCCCCTGTTTCGCAAAGGAAGGCACCTCAGGAGCATCCCGGATTTGTTGATATGTTCATTTGGCAGCATTTTTTGAGTGCTCAGTATGTGCGGAAGATGTTTTGAGTTTCATGGTTACATCTGTGAACAAAACAGACACAGTCTACACTCATGTATTTATACTTAGAGGATGGGGGAGAAAATTTTTTTAAATATACTTTTCAGATACTACAAATTCTACAAAAAAATTAAATAGTGTTAGGAAATTGAGGATTACTATGTTTAGGCTGGGGGCTATTATTTCCGATAGAGTGGTCATAGAATTTTCTTTGAGCAGAAACCTCAAAACAAAGTGAGGAAGCAAGTCATAGGGATGTCCAGGGGAAAAGTATTCCACACAGAGGCAAAGGCCCCGGGGAAGTCCCATGGGGAAGACCCTGGCATGTTTGCAGAGCAACATGGAGCTCTGTACAGCCGGTGAGGAGGAGCGTGAGAGCAATGAGCCACCAGGGAGGCCAGGGGCCAGATCAGTTGGGAATGAATGAATTTAAACTCTGTCTTTTATTCTGAATGACATGAGAAGCCATTAGGATTATGAGCAAAGGGATGTCATGACCCAATTAAAGTTTTGAAAGAGTCACTCTGACTGACGTGTGGAGAGGAGACTATCACTAGGATGGAAGCCAGGAGAGCAGTTTGGGGACCAAAGCAATAATCCATGTGCCTTTAACTAAGGATAAGTAAGAGGTGGTGAGATTTAGAATGTATTTTAAAAGCATAGCCAAGATCTGCTGGTTGATTGTTTGTCGGGGATGAGGAAAAAAAGAGATATCAAGAACAACTCCAGGAATTTTAAGCTAAACAATTGGAAGAATGAAGTTGCCATTTACTGAGATAGGGTGGGCTGCCTGGGTGAGTAGCAGGTTTGGAAAGGTAACCTAAGAGCTCAGTTATGGACGTCTTGAAGTTGAGATATCCATTAAATGTCCAAGTGTAGAATAAAAATGCAATTGAGTAGGTCAGTTTGGAGGAAGTCTCACTAACTGGTGAGTTGATCTAGGCTGAAATAACTATTTTGGAAAGGTTAGCATATAGATGGTATATAAAGTCATGAAGCTAGGTAAAGAACCCTGGCTCTAGGGTGAGCCTAAAGAGCAAAGAGTTCCAAGAACGAAGCCTTGAGACATTTGAGGAGAAAGGACAAAAAAAAAGAAAAGAGAGGGAAAAACAATGGTGAGTGATGTGGAAAACAAAGGAAGAAGAAAAGTTATTAAATTTCCTTACTATCTACAGCCCACTGACAAGTCTTTGAAACAGGCAGAGTGACATTCCTCTAGGGACTCAGCTGCCTCGATGTTGACACTTTGCTAAGGGCTAAAGGCAATCCTAACCTGACCCTCAGGACTCTGAAAGTCTACTTTAACATATAAAAATTCCTTTATCTTTAAACCCCCAAGATACATGTTGGCAATCATCCGCCAAGCATATGGCCCACCGATATACATCTGAAGGGTCTCATGACTAAGGTTTTATTAGACGGTAATAAATGACCTTTCCCCAACAATAGCTAGCCCCCCAAGGTCCTGGAAACCTTGCTTCCAAAATTCCTTAGAGACTTATGCTATCCCTAACCCCCTCCCAACTTGAAAGTATATAATGGGCAACTCCTCATGACCCCGGTGCAGCTCCTTCTGCCCACGGGTCCTGTCCCCGAGCTTTAATAAAGCCACATTTTTGCACCAAAGACGTCTAAAGAATTCTCTCTTGGCTGTCGGCTTCGGACCCTAATGTCTTTCCTACATCCGTGAGTAGGGAAGAAGGAGAAGCAAAAGAGAGTGGTGGCCCAGAAGCCCCCTATTTCAGGAAGGGTTGCCTGGCAGTCCTAAAGGTCCCTTTGAGGTTTATGGTCGTGAACTTAGAATGAGACTTGTTTCAAAATAGTTGGAGAAAAACTCCAGCCACATTTAGCTGCTGGGGTACAGGCATGGAGAGGGGGAGAGCTGTATTTAAGCAGGATCAGGTTTTCCCAGGAGACCATGATTGGGGTGGGCACGGGACACCATGGGGGACAAGGGAGATGAGAGTGTACGAAAGGAAGTCACTGTAAGGATGGACCATGGACTCTAT